GTAAAAAACTGGTACTCCGACTTTCTCCTTTGGCGACAAAGATTTCTAAAGGGGGTGAAATTCTTAGAATCTTTGCCGTTAAAAACATACACATTCAAAGCTGAGGGTTCAAATGGTCATAAAAACAGGTACAAAATGTTAGTTTGTTTAGCTTAAAAAACGTATTTCTTTTGCTTCAAAAAAGAAAGAGGAAAAAATCGGAATATTTGAAAATAAATATTAGTTAAATTTTACTTACTACTACATTTACGAATTAATAATAATATGCATAAAAAAAGGGTAAAATTCTGCCGAACAAAAATCTTTATCTTTTCATAATACCTCTTTTGAAACTAGGTTTATTGCATCGTTCTTTCACTTCTCTATTAAGTTCCTACACATCTATAACCTGAATCTTTTGAATTGTTTTTAATAGTTTATCCCAAGCTCTCTCATTCTGATCTTTATACGCTAATTAGATCCGCTTTCTTTCAAGTCTTTCTAACGATTAATCACAAACATCACCTCTAATGTTTTCAGTTGTTCAATCTCTTACATTACCCATCTTGAATGAATGAGGGGTGACATTCTTCATTCATGAACTAACAATTACGTGTTTCTTAAGGAAGCAGATTTTAAATAATAGAGGGATTTTAATTGGTAGGCCTTACTAGGAGAGAGCCTAGAGGTTTATAGAACATTGCTTAGGATTAGGGAGTATATATCGGTTCAATTCCGGGTCTGTCTGCCCTGATCCAACTTTTTCTGTGGTTTCTTTGGATCACCTGGGCAAAAGCCGGGACAATAATATTCCGCAAGTAATATAATCTTCCTCTCTCTTCTAACAGGAGGTTGAAAAAGGCCTTTCGCATTACTCTCTGGCATAGTCCGAAGGGACTGTCCGCCCGCCAGCATTAGTAGTTTGTGGAGGAAATCCCAAGAAATAAAGCGCGCTTGAAAAACACTTAGATGAGTCATCTCCATCAGTTCCTAATCCTACTGGGCAGACAGTCCCTCCGGACTACTTCGGAGAGTAGAGCGGAAGGTCCTCTTCAGCCTTCTTTTAGAAATCATGAGAATGGGTAGGTGGCGATTGGGGCGAGAAATATGAGATCGACAAAATGAAGAGAAGTGAAAGAAAATCTGTGAAATAAAATTATCATTACTACTGCCCTATCATTTGCCCAAATGGTTCAAAAAAATTAGGAATT